CATAAATTTGTGGACGATCGTAAATGGAATGCGTGTAACTTGTACCTCGGACTACTAATACTTGTATTACTAGTCTGAGCTTGTACTGAATGCACGAGACTGTTTATATTTGCTATGGGTGGTGACTATTATGCAAATTATCTGTCTATTATGTCTTTGGCTGATTAATTAAAACATGGCTTTCAAAACAATGACATGTGCTTTTGTTTTTAATTAACAAAAATTGATTTTTACACCCTATAAAAACATCCAATTCACTTGTTTTCCTTCTGAGTGTTTGCTCCTTGTAGTCCAGCATCGAAAAATACAAAAAAGTAGAATTTTGGGTTTCAAAGCAAAAAAAGGTGTACAGCATCCTTAATGCATTTATTATTCACTGGTTTTTAATTTTGCTGTTTTCCTTATTACTAAGTAAAGTTTGATATATTAAATTCACATAGACATGTGAAATAATAACAAGAACTCATTATTTCCTGCCAAGTTCATGAACTTTCAAACCTAGTAAAATTGCTCAAAACATCAAAATACTGTAAAGGAATTAATTATTCACTGGGTTTATATTTTGCTGACTGGCAAATATGACAAATTAAAACTCAGTGAATATGTAAAATTCACCATATAACACATTATCTAAATGATAAAACCGTGAATTTAAATCCCACTGAATATGCCTGAAATGGTAAATCAGCGAAATTTAAACCCAATGAAAATTAGTCATTTTACAGCAGTGAAAATAAATGGTTTTACAGTGAGGTATTATATATAAAGAAATAGCAAGTGAAGAATTATGCAAATAGCCAAAGTTAGATCTGTGTTAGACTGGACGAGAACCTTTATTTCAGGTTTTAGTACATGATGGGTTTTCATTTGTAATCAAGATACACCAAATGCATTGTCAATTTCTTCTTATTTTCTCATTAGTTCTCACATCACCATAAAGCTATCTTCATGCGAGTCTCTTTAAATTTTCCGATAGGTTTCCGAATTTACAGTTTGCCTACAAGGATCCAGAGAAGAATTTTAATCGTAGTAGTGTTAAAGGTTTAGTGGCACAGTTGATAACGGTTAAAGATGTGAATACAGCAACCGCACTGGAGGTGGCAGCTGGTGGCAAGGTTAGTCTAGCTCTTACTTTGCACTCAGTTTTACTGTTCTGCACACAGTCAGCTGACATACAAGTGATAATCAAATAAATGCGATTAATCTACCGATATTCACTATATTGGACTAGCCATCTTGAATACAGCTTGAAACTAAAAAAGAGACAAGTTGTGAAACTGTTTTGTTTTTTTTAGATTCCTACATATCAGTAAAAGAAAACAAATTTTCCCAGCCAAACGATCCGTAACATAGAATAGAATAGCAAAAGACTTATTTATAAGTGGTGGTGTTGAAATAATTTAGCAAGGAAATTGGTTTGGCATTAACCTCCCTTGAAATCATCTTAATCTCCTGTGTACATTGAATGACATTCTGTGATTAACTCAGTTGTATTTTAAGGTAGAAGCCTAGTCATAATTTCTGACAAAATTGGTCATAAATCGCATAACAATGTTCATTAGTTTATTATGTACAATCATGAAGCTAATGTCCCACGGTACAACTAAATAGCATTATTTTGTGTGTTACAGTTAAGCTTTTTGAGAAACGTGTCCTAATATTTCTTGAAAATTGCTATTTTTAGAACAATTCCATAGAACACAATGTTAAAGAAAAATTACATTTTTTGACACTTTTTAAAACCCAGATTTTTTAAATAATTCAGAACAACAAAATGTACTCCATCATTAAAAATATATGATTTTTTCAGCCTATGTCACCAGGCTAGATAGACCTGTGATAAAAGTGTTATAATAGTGTCAAAATGGCGACTTTCCACTAAAATACAACCATCAATTTCTCGAAAAAAAGGCTGATGACCCCCAACATTTTTAAGGTCAATATCCTTATATTGCCGTGGAGTACAATTTATTGCAAAATAAATAAATTCTGGGTTTTTTAATTTATGAGTAGGCTTCTACCTTAAGTATGATTTTGTAATTGTGACTAACATTATATGATTGCTTTGCCAAAATGCACTACAGGATTAGAACTTAAAAACACATGTGTAATAAAACTAACTTTTCATTTATCGATATTGCAGTTATATAATGTAGTGGTTGACACTGAAGTGACAGGTAAAAAAATACTACAGAAAGGTGAACTGAGGCGACGTTATACTATAATACCTTTAAACAAGATATCGTCAAGAACCCTCTCCAATGATGTCATCAAAACAGCTCAGAATCTTGTAAGTTAACAATGAAATTTAAACTTTCTCAATCAGAGAGTATCACGTAAAGAATCAAAGTTGTACTCTAAGATAATTCATATTACAAGACTTGAACTTTGAAGTTGAGAGGAACCGGTAACTTTTTTTCAAGGAAAAACTCAACAAAATGGCTTTAACATATAGACATATATAGGGTAAATCTGTATTTTTGGAAGGGGCACCAAGGCAAACTTCTTGAGCATTGAGGCAATTGCTTTTGATATCTCTGTGGAGCTCAATTCCTGATATAGATTTATTTTGATTTGAGGAATTATTATGTGACATATTAAATATCCTGATTATTTGGGACTGAGAACAAACAATTCTTTGTTACTCAACCAATGTTTGAACACTTTTCCAAAGTTTGTGCAATTGAACTTCAACAAACGATCATACTAAGAAAGCTGACTACCGTAAATTTATGAACATTTAGATGTGCTGAAAACCAGTGCAACGATAAACAATATTTCCTTCAATTCTTGCAAACAGACCAACAAAATATTTCACATAATTAATTAGTCTTTTGACTGCCATGTAAGCTTTACGAATGATCTCAGAGTATAAGTTTGTGGAAGCTATGGTACACAATGTACGTATAGGCAATCGGTCATTCAATCTAATAGCCCCGTCACACCATAACGTTTTGGTCAGCGTTCTCTGAACGTTCCAATCGTCCAATTTCCAAGCGTTCTGGAATGAGGTAGACACATCCAGCGTTCGATTAACGAGTGCCCCTAACGTATGACTGGCGTGTTCCTAACGCACGAGGAGCGTGTAATGAGCGACCAAGTAAGATACCCCTGGAAATCATTGACGTGTGCTAACGTGTCACTAGCGCGTGACGAACGACTTTTAAACGTTAAGTGAGCGTGTATCTAGCGTTAGGTCGTTAATTTGACGTTAATCGCACGCTTTATGTGCGCTCGGGGTACGTTCAGCGGTCGTTGACAGGTCGCTAGTGAGTTGTTCACTGCAAAGCAAGCGATTGGTGACAACTAAGTAACGCTAGATCACAGACTGACTAACGCGTCGAACGTTAGCAAAATGTTCGAAGAACGTTATTTAACGTTTAACAACGTTTAAAAATAAACGTTGAAGAACGCTGGTTCTAAATGAGAACTTTTGTGCATGTTTAAAACTTTATTTTTGGATCAGCGTTCTCCGCCGATTCCTGACGATCAGCAACGATTACCGACGTTCACTAGCGTTCTCACGGCGCTGTCCCAGCGACTTTGGGCGACTACCAACGTTTCCTCAAATGCCAGAGAACACTCGCCAGAACGTCATGGTGTGACTGCGCCTTAAGTAAGAATAAAACTGATGTTCTCGTTTTGAATGTTATTTCTGCAACTGTCATTCTTTGTTGCTAACTGTGTTTACGTGTTTCAGGTTGGGAAGGATAATGTACATACTGCTCTTTCACTGGTTGGATATAAAAACGATGTGAAGCAAGCATTAGAGTATGTATTTGGTACAACATTGGTAGCTGACTGCTTGGATAATGCCAAAAAGGTCAAATGAATATATTGCTTATACTTGATAATTCCTTACCGATACTCAAAATTTATTACAAATTTCTAATTACAAATATTCGTTTTATTAGAAACACTTGTCATCATATAGTACATGTATTTATGTTAAGAAAGCCGGTAAACTTTGATTGCATAAATGGAGTATATATTAATTACATGTACTGTGTGTGGATGAAGTTAAACACTGAAGTATACCAGGGTAATAATCAGCTTTCTTTTGTTTGTTTGATAATCTGAAGTACATGTATATGTTCTTATTCAGGTTTGTTTTGATCCTAAAGTTATGAGTCGCACTGTAACATTAGAAGGCGAGGAATTCAATCCATCTGGTCTTCTTTCAGGAGGTATGTTTACTTACTTGCACCATATGACTGATGTGCATGCTTTCCATACTTAATTTTTGACCCCCTCTGATGTTCTATAAACTGATTGTTCTATGTACCTCACTACTAAACAAATGCTACTTTGTTTACATAAACCAGTTAATCTCTAAAATGGCCAAATTGAGCAATGACATATTTATATTCATATTCACATTAATTTTTTTTTTTGCATGGTTCCAAGCAACACCTAAACCTAATGGACTAACCTGCAACTAATAATTTTTAGGTTCTCGTGCTCAGAGTGCATCTGTCCTGGCAAAGTTGAATGATCTAAAATCAGCAAGAGATGAACTGAATCAAACACAACAGGAACTGGAGACTGTTACCAAAGAATTAGAGTCACTCAGGAAAGTTGGTGAAAAGTAAGTTCATTTAATGTGAAAAAATCATCTATTCTGAATCCTGTCATATCATCAAAGCAGACACCTGTCTTGTCATGTCATCTGATCTGACATCTATCTTGTCATGTCATCTGATCTGACACCTGTCTTCTCATGTCATTTGATCTGACACCTGTCTTATGTCATTTGATCTGACACCTGTCTTCTCATGTCATTTGATCTGACACCTGTCTTGTCATGTCATCTGATCTGACACCTGTCTTCTCATGTCATCTGATCTGACATCTGTCTTCTCATGTCATCTGATCTGACACCTGTCTTCTCATGTCATCTGATTCGACACTTGTCTTGTGATGTCATCTGATCTGACACCTGTCTTGTCATGTCATCTGATCTGACACCTGTCTTGTCATGTCATCTGATTTGACACCTGTCTTCTCATGTCATCTGATTTGACACCTGTCTTCTCATGTCATCTGATCTGACACCTGTCTTGTCATGTCATCTGATCCGACACCTGTCTTCTCATGTCATGTCATCTGATCCGACACCTGTCTTCTCATGTCATGTCATCTGATCCGACACCTGTCTTCTCATGTCATGTCATCTGATCCGACACCTGTCTTCTTATGTCATCTGATCTGACACCTGTCTTCTCATGTCATCTGATCTGACACCTGTCGATTGTGATTGGTTAATTTTTGCCTTCGATCCACCTCTGTATTATATGTTGTCTGGTAGAGGTGAGTTTGGCACATTGCAGGATTACAGTTGTAGACAGCTCTTCAAGGAATATTGCAATGTTGCAAGGAAAATTGATAGGAAGATATTAGTTTTGAAGATCAGTTAATTTTAGCACCCACTTGTAACTTGGCTGGTTATTGATTTATAGTTTGTCAGTTTAACCTTTATGTGGTCAAGTTATAAAAGTGTGGCTGACAAGTTTTATGAAAATTTTCATAAACTAACTTTCCAACTATTATGACACAAACCTGTTTGATGTTACTTTGTAGGTACCAGAGAATAAAACAAGAATATGATTTGAAAGTACATGAGGTTAGTCTGGTTGAAGCCCGTCTTACACAGAGTACTCATCACAATCAACTGGAGGATATAAATGATTTACAACAGACAATCGGTAAGAGTAACTTCATTATCTTATTTTCCTCTTTCAATCTTTACTGCCTAGATAACTATTGGTTATCTGACAAGGCTGTACACTGGAATGACCACCAACATTGCCTTGAAAGCAAGAGGACCACAAGACTTGTTTTTGCCTCTCAAGTAGTGTTTTCATTCTTGCCTGTCATTGTGTCTACTGTTCCCCTGACTTATGTTAACATAATGGTATATAGATCAGTAGACATGATAGGAGAGAAAAGAGTCAATGGGGCAAAAAAAGTCTGTGGCTCTTAGCCTTTCAACAAAATTTTCGGTGGCTATTTAGGTTCTCTGAAAATACTGAGAATCTAAAAAATATAATGTTAAGCTGTAAAATTTCTGATGAAACTGAAAATAGTCTTCCTCTTCCACTTAGCCTTAAGTGAGGGGGAGCTGTCGCTAAATAAGTTGATGTGCCTGACAGTACATGTTAATGTGTTGGACTTTCATTAACCCTTCACCAGTTACTAATGAGCAAATTAACAACAAAATGTCACTTTTTTCACCCATTGTTCAGATAATTAATAAATCATGTCTCATTTTAGTAGCATATTACTATTGACTTCATCAGCTAGGGTTATTTCATCTCTGTTTGAGAAATTTTTTTATTAATACTTCTTTGCCCTGCAGTTAACAAGCTGACTCAACTGGATTTGGGGAGAATCTATATTGACTCTACTATTATATCCCTACAAAATCAGTCCTGTTTTAGGGCTCATTGAATATATTTATGATATTGAGAATTGTATATTATAACTGGCTTGGTGGGCCAGTGGACTGTGAACTGGAAATTTGCTGACACACCTAACCGACTTACACTGACAACTTATTCATCTGAGGAAACCCCAGCAATTTTCACTTCTGATACTATACTTTTTCTTACTGTGGTTTCCACATAACAATTACTTATAATTATTATTATTCCATATTTGTGTAGATGAACAACAGAAGTTGATAACTGATGCCAATGAAACAATGAAGAAGATGACTCAGAAAGCCAAGTCTTTGGAAGCTAAGATTAAAGACGCTAAATCAGTGAGAGAAAAGGAACTGAAAGATGCTGAAAAACAACTGACTAATTCCAAAAAACAGGCGGAGGAATCAAGTAAAATAATGAAAGAAAAACAACAAGTATGTCATCATATTTACTGTCATACAGTGATAGAGTGATGCTGTTTCAATTTGTTGTTTGATTGATGTTTGAATAAGACCCAGGGAATTAAACTTGTAATCATAATTTAATCTGGTCTTACAATCTCAATTATTTTATAACCATTATTTCTTATTTTCATATCTCCTGATATTGTGCATTCAGTTTCCCCATACAGACTTCTTAGATATCTTAATTTAATAAAAAATATTTATTTTCTTTCATAAATATATAGCAATTAACAACGTATTGTCATATATCTCACAGCCTCCAGTGAGTCATTTCAAATAAAAATGAATCCGTAATTGAGCATAATGATAATAATATTTAAACTTCTATTGAAAGGCAATGACATGCATGTCGAAATGGACCTGGGCAATCAGTGACACTGAAGATTGTATTTCTAAAATATATTGATTTATTATTATTTTCTAGGAAGTGGAGGCGCTTAAGCTTGAAGCAGAAGGATTATCCCGAGACTTAGATAATTATGAAGATCAGATAAAAGCTGTAGATGAAGCCATTGCTGGATATGAAGAATGCGTCAGACAGTTAACTGAATCGTGTGTTATGACTGCGGTTAGTTGTAGTTTATTACTAGCTGATATAGAGAATGCGTCTTGGAGGGAATAGAAGGTTCAAATTAAAGTACTGATAAAATCTACCTTACAGCAGTCACTGGTAGCATAGTGGTTGTAACATTGGGGTCATGTTTGGTAGACCTGAGTTCAAATCTTATCTTGAGTTTAATATTGTCAACCCCCCTACCTGGAGCAGGTGTGCCACAGACTCAATGTGAAGGCTAAATCCACTGGCTGGAATTCGTCACTAACAAATGCAATTTTGGTGAACCTTGGTTAAAGACGACAGATGCTTGTGTTCGACCAGGCATGGTTGACACCAGGATAGTGCCATTTAATGCCCTTATGATGGGAAGATGGTCATACAACCCTATTACATAGTCCCAAACTGGAATATGGGCTCTGTAGCAAAATGCACTGTATGTCAGCACTCATATTTGCACATTGTACATTAAAAAAATGTCAGAAGAGACAACAGTGACATTCAATGTCCTCAACTGTTGCCTGACACAAAAATATTTTTTAAAAAAGTGTGGGCATAGTCATCTGTAGAGTGTATTGTTTGGGTTTCACATGTCAAAACACTCCATAATATTAAAGCACTACAGTAACAGTTGTTGCACATTGTCATGCTTTATATGGATTGTATTTGACATATATAATACATGTAAAATGTATTATTTGTCACTGACATTTTGTCATTTATCATTTTCACTGCCATTTGTCATTTATCACTTTCACTGACATTTTGTCATTTATCCCTTTCACTGCCATTTTGTCATTCGGCACTTTCACTGACATTTTGTCATTTATCCCTTTCACTGCCATTTGTCATTTATCACTTTCACTGACATTTGTCATTTATCACTTTCACTGACATTTGTCATTCGGACCCTCACTGCTGTCATTCAGCACAGTCATTGTCATTTGTTACATTCATCATTCATTGTTACATTCACTGCTATTTCTCTTTTCTTGTGTTCACTTCTATTTGCCACACTCACTGACAATATTGTCACTATATTTGTCATTTGTCACTATTTTAGTTATTTGTCATTTTCACTTTCATATGCCACTTTCACTTAAATTTGTTCAGAGGTCGTATTGAATAGGGTTTCTTTTGGATATGAGTGTTCTACTCTATCCACAGACACCGTTCCCCACCTTATAGTCTCTCATGTTTTGTTTCCTACTAGAATAATGTAAAAGAAGCTCAAAGTGATTTGAATAAACAGAAACAAAAACTGAAAGAATGTGATAAAGACATCAATACTAAAAGCAGTGAAATGCAGAAACTGAAATCAGAAGATAATGACACCCAACTCAAGATTCAAGAACTGGAACATAAAATATCTAAACACAATAAGGACAGTAAAGATGCAGCTAAAATGGTGTGTAACAATTATTGCATTTTCTCTTGACATATGTTCTAAACTAATCAGAGAATTTTTTTTGCAATGCAGGTTATAAATATTTTAAAATATTTGAGCACAGTAATATTTTAGATTTAGCCAGTTTTTATTTATTTTTCTATACATTTTTTTATTAATTTGGATTAAATGAACCTAATTTCATATTAGCTACAGCTATTGATCACCATTTTGTGAAAAACCTACCGGTATTTACAAAAACATGTAACTTTTGATAAGCAAAATATGTGTTTGTAATGAACTGTCAGATGTTTGACACATACACCTCCCCCCAAGACATGACATCCCAGAAAATATCTTTCCTGTGTTCCAGAATGATGTATACCTATACCATGACTGAAATCATCTTATGATGGCCAGCAATGGCTAGATAGTATCTGACTGGAACTACATGTCTTTTATTTGACTCTGTCTTTATGAGAGTCTTAATCAAATTTAACACTACTGATCATATATGTCAATTGAGTTATGGGAGAGAAATTACAGTAAAATTTAATGAAAAATATTATCACACTGGAAACTTAATTTGAATGCCAAAGTTTTTGAAAATGTTAAAAATATTGGAACTTGGGTGATAGTATAGTTGTTAGCGTGTTTGTTTGCATCCAGGTTAGATTATGGAATCCAATTGTTCACTCAGCTGTATGAATACAAGTACAGTCTGCCCTGCATTCCAAAACAATGTGGTATTTGGTTTGGGAGACTCGTTTGCACACGTGCAATTACAATTAGTACCTCAGACAAAAAAGTCAAGAATGACAGCAGTGACTTCAATGTCAGATAAAATACACATGCACTAAATATTTGGTATCTGTAACAGAATATGGCTTATAGCCTGTATCACCAAACAAAATTTTGACATTTGAATTACATAAATTTTCATATAAAAACCATGGAAAAACAAACTTTCCCATTTGCCAAAAAAAAATCTGAAAAAAAATTGGCAACTTTTATAGTGTGTTAAAAATGGATAATTAATCGCCACTACTGTGTTACTTGTAGGTCGAAGACATGTTGCAACAGTATGAATGGATATCAACTGAAAGACAGTTCTTTGGTCAGTCTAACACTGCCTATGATTTCAAAGCCAATGATCCCAAGGAAGCTGGACGAAGAATACAAAAACTGAAGGAGACTAGAGACAAGTTGGCCAAGAATGTTAATCAGAGAGCAATGAATATGTTAAGCAAAGCTGAGGAAAAGGTATAGTTCTGATTCTAAACTACCATTGGCAATATGTGGACATTGGTATAAATTATCAGATTACTCTGTTGCTTTTCATAAGCCCTTAATCTGTATAACATTTTCACATTAAATGTGGTAGTAAAAATCCTGCAACTATTACTGTGAAGTAATAAAAAAAAAGCATATTAAATAGGAATTAACTCAAACAAAGCACTATACAAATGTATCAAATTTGTGTTTGACCCCTTTGAATGCCAAAGAAACCTTATGTCATTCTTTGTGGCATAAGCCTGAATAATTGTTGATGGCTGCAGTTTAGAAAAATTTTATTAACTTCGGTTTGTGCCATGTACTGTAAAATGACTAATTTTCACTGGGTTTAAATTTCACTGATTTACCATTGCAGACATATTCAGTGGGTTTTAAATTCACGGTTTTATCATTTAGACAATGTGTTCTATGCTAAATTTTACATATTCACTGGGTTTTAATTTAGCTCATTTTCCAGTCAGCGAAATAAGCTAAATTAAAACCCAGTGAATAATTAACCCCTTTACAGTATTTTCCTGGTTGTTTCAATCGGTTTTCATATTTGGTTGCCCTGTGAGACTTGATATTTTCATCGTGGTACCATGTACATTATAATAATCTTCATTGTTCATTTCTGATTATTAAGACCTGTTCCAGAATGATGTATTACTCTTTCATCACTGAAATCATCTTATGATGGCCAGCAATGGCTAGATAGTATCTGACTGGAACACTAAATATAGGGATTTATTTTCATAAGTTTTGAAAATCTTGAAATCACATTGCCTCATGTTTTGACTAAGCTAATGACCAAGTGTTAAATACAACCTTTTTGTGTGTATGAAAATTGATACATATATGTGTTACAGTACCATATTTTGAGAAAATTAACAAAATGTTATATAAAAATTTATATTTTGTGAACAGTTCCATAAAACATAATGTAATAGGGAAAATATCATATTTTATTAGATTTTAAAACTCAAAATTTTGAAATAATTCAAAATTAACAAAAATTCAGAAAAACAATCAGTCACATCAGAGATATACATGTAGCAGAATATTTCCACTGTACAAAAATGTAAGAACTAATGGTAAAAGCATTCCGACAAAATGGCAACAACAAAAAATAGTGTGGTAACCCCAAACTTTTTTAAGTCAGCATTTTTATATTGCCTGCAAGAACACTTCATTGTAAAATTTATAAATTCTGGGTATTTTCATTTATGTATAGACTTTTACTGTATTTGATTTGCTTTTATCATGTCATGGCTATTGCTGATTATTTATGTACCAAACCTTGGTCTCGCATTGTGAGAATGTATTGGCTACGATTCTTGCGTGTTGTATTGTGGCAGTGGGCCTGAAAGAGAGGCTATGAACGCAAACTAATCAGCAATGGCTGCCACAT